ACACACATACACGCCTCTGTGCCATGTAAGAATGTAGAGAAGGTAGAAGAGCTGAGATCCGGTGTAAGAGTGACCCAGGTGCTGCATTCTCCCCGACAGGATCTTGTTGGATTTGCTGAAGCTGAACGTGGCCCCACTGGCCGTCTTCCAGATGCTCAAGTCCATGTGTGCGGGGCAGCGGCTGGCCATGGACCCTCCTGGGCCCGAGAGCATGGGATCCACTCTGCCACCATCCACCTTGCCTGACACGAGAGGTCAGGACCGGGCCGGTCTCCCTTTGGGGCTGGGGGCGGTGCGGGCCGTGTCGAGCGGGCTCCCACATTTCAGTGTCTCCTGTCTTCTTCTGACCTTATGGAAGCCACCTCCTGTCATATTGGCCAGAGGGCCCGTTTTGAGCATTCCCGTGCTTTCTGTGGCAAGGTGACCTTGCCTCCTCCTGCCTCCAGGCAGGGCTCTGACCCTTCCTTCTTGAACCCAGAGCCTGCCCCTTTCATCATGGGCCTGTGCTCTACAGGCAGTGGGCCTTTTCTAGATAAGCAAGCAGTTTGAAGCCCTGCTCCATGCCAGGCGTTAGAGACACGCAGACAAAGGTCCCTGCCCCCCAGGCACATACGTTCTAATGGAAGTCTGCGTGTGTCCTGGAGGCCAAGGGCCAATCGGGCTTTCCCCAGGGCCAGGCTTTGCGCCCATGGGACATCACAGAGAGTGAGCCGTCATTGGTCTGGAGCGGAGGCTGTGCTTTGGGACTGGGAGCCATGAATACTCAGTATCCCCACTCCTGTCCTGGGGGTCCCCCTCTGGGGAAGGGGGTCCATGCCCAAAAATGGGCAGGGCCAGACATTCACTCTTCAGATTAGAAAAATGTGCTGAGAGGTCAGCTATGTCTGCCTTAGCTATTAAAACATAGTTGAGGAATAGTTAGCAAAATAAATATAGGGCTGGCAGGAATCTTATGTACGGTTTATTCTCTTTGAGGGACACCCTCACAGCGCCTTGTGTCCCTCGGGCCCCCCTCCCAAATCTGGGCCCAGTGGCGACCTCACCTCATTTGTCTTGGCTCCTGGGTGGCTAAAAACCCTCAACCTGGAAGATGCTCTGATGAAGTTTGAAATTCTGGGGAAATGTCAGGCCATGGGGTCTGTGCTGTTGAGAAGGGCTCTCCCAGGCAGGCACCTTGGGTGGGGGTTCAAGCGGTCTGAGCTAAGTGACCTTAGGCCAGTCCCAAAGCCTCTCTGGGCCTCAGTTTCCTCATCTATTACATATGGTCTAGACCAAATAATCCTCAAGTGCCTTCAGCTCCAGAGAACCCCACCTCTGAGTTCTGTCTGGAACCTAAAATCTGGGTTTTGGCTCAGGATCCTTTCAAAGCATCCCCAGCAGAATCTCCTCAGAGCACCAGTGGACGGAGGGCCCCGTTACCACTTCTCAGGAGTTCTAGGTTCACAGCCATAAAAAGGAAGGCCATAACAAATAATACCCAGGACTTCCACCTAGCCAAGGAACAGGGTCAGGACCTCAGCATCTTGTCTTAGGGCCTTCATCCGAGCTGTAACTAGGGTGGGGCAACCAGAGCGCCGTCACTGAGTGCTGATGTTTGGAGGGGGCACTTTCAGCCCGTCAGCACTATAGAAATGAAGGAGTGCGATCACCTAGTTAGCAAGAGTGCTTAGTTAAAATAGAGCGTTCTCCCTTTCCATCTAGGTAAGTTTCTTCCCCAAACTGGCCTCCTCCTGATTTCTAGCCTGATGAGGTCTACAGTGTCCACACCCCACCTCCCCTGGCACTGAACTGAAGGCATACTTTGTCTCACTGTTCTTAACCCCACAAAGCATTTCTAGCAAAGCGGTGAAGTTGCTCCTCAGGAACAGTCTTCTTGTAGGTGGAACGTCTTTTAAGGGAGGCAGTGCGGTGCAGTGGACGGAGCTCTGGCCCTAGCGTCAGAAGACCTGGGTTTAGCCCCCTCCCCTTTACTGCCTTCAAGACTTTGGGCAAGTCTTTCTTCGGGGGCTCAGTTTCCTCCTCTCAGGTCCTCTGAGGTCCCTCCCTCCCAGCACTAATCTGTGAACAGAGCTGGGGGTGGCACGCTTTCTAGTGGAAGGAGGGCAAGAAGTGCCTCTCCTTTCTTGGGGCTGGGGGAGGCTGGGGGGGCCCTGCCTCGGGGCCCTAAAGGGAGCAGCAGGGCTGGCCCCCGGACCCTCTCCTCCCTCCTGACTGACGCCGCCTGTGTTTGCTGTGTTTCTGTCTCTCTCTGAACTCTAGAGGGCTCATTTGTCTCTGCCAAGAACAGTAAAAACCCCACGGCGCCCTCCTTCTCCTCGGCCCTCCGGCCTTCTCCGCGCCAGGCCGCCGCCGCTGCCACCACTCAGACCGCCCTTTGTTCGCCTCCCTCTCACAGGGCCCCAGGTTCCTTCCAGTTTTCTTGCTGCCTGTTCTCTCCTTTCACAGGTCGCGTGGATTAGTTTCTTTACTGGGGTTGGTGCTGTCTGGTGTTTCCATAGGAACAGAATCAGCATCCAGCAGTAGGCCAGATGGAATCAGATGATAGTCCATAGGGAGAGATGGAAAGCCCCTCACTTAGATGGGGAAAAAAGGGAGGATTCCAGGCCTGGGAAGATGCAGAGAGGCGGGAGAGCAGGTTGAGGCCAGGGAGCACCTTCCACCTTGGCTAGTGCATGGAGTCCATGCCAGGAAATCAGGTGAAATGTGGCTGGAGACGGGTGGTGCAGGGGCTTCAGTACCAGACTGTAGAGTTTTCTCTTGGAAGCAGTGGGGAGCCACTGAAGACATTTGAGCAGAGGAGTCACGGTGCGTTGTGAACGCAGCTCAGATTGGAGCACGGGACACACTGGGGGCAGGGAGGTTGCTCCAGGAGTCCAGGAGAGAGGTGGTGATCCGGGAGACCCCGTGGCTCCCACACAAGACTTTGCCGCTGTTGCTGGGCACCTCCCTGTCTGACTCACGTTCTCTCCCATTCTGAATTGTGAGATGGCTCCTGGGCATCGGTGGAGCCGAGAAACTGGATTCCTTTTCGCTGTCCTGCCGTGGGGAGCGGTAGAAGAGAGGAGGAGTCGTGCTCCCCCTAGGGGCCCCTTCTGTGGCTTCTGGGCTCTTCTTCACACCCACCCGGACCCTCCACTCTCCCATCAGCTGTCCCGGGCTCAGCCTGAGCCAGACCCACTGCCCTAGAGGAAGACCCCGTGTCCGGAGACCTCCTGCTCCTTGTCTCCTCTAGTCTTCATCTCAGGCATAAGCCGAGAGACAGTGGCAACCAGCTACGTCGCCTTCTGTACTGGCTCACGTTGGCCCAGACTTCAGCTGTTGAGTTTCTAGCCTGAAACTGTCATTCAAAGAACGCTTGTTAAGCAGAACCCTGTGCCCAGGTGCTGGGGAAGACCCAGTTTAGAGAAGATGTGGTGGCTGCGGTTGTGATTGTGATTGTTGATGAGTTGTTTCAGTTGTATTAGACTCATCATGACCACGTTTGAGATTTTCTTGGCAAATATACTAGAGTGGTTGGCCATTTTCTTCAGCTCATTTTACAGATGAGGAAAGTAAGGCAAACAGGGTGAAGTAAATTGCCCGGAGTCACACACCTACCGAGTGTCCAAGGCTGGATTTGAACCCAGGTTTTCCTGACTCCAGGCCTGGGGCTCTATCCTCTATACCACCTAACTGCTCTCGCCATAAAGTTTATATTTTAGCAAGTGGATTTAGCACCCCCATTAAATATTGGCTAAGTTCATTAGAGAGGCATAAGCAACATGCTAACTGAATTTCAAGGAAGAGAAAGGTTGTGAAGCAAGGAGGTGCTCTAGATACTGGGGGCTTCCTGGAGGAGGTGGAGTGTAGTCAAGGCTTTAAAGAGCGGGCAGGAATTCAGCCGACCAGGGGAAGGTCTAAGGAACGGCATTATCAGTCATGGAGGCCAGAAAGTACCCTGTGTATGAGGGCCGAACAGGAGGCGAGTTTGATCTAGAGGATGAGGGCATGGATGATAACGGGGACACAAGACTGAGAAGAGCCTGGGGTGTAGGGAGCGTGACCTTCCACCTCACGCCCGCCCTGGTGTCTGGCACATCTGCGGGCGCTCGGTAGACGCACGCTGATTGGCCCAGCAGAAACTCGGGGCCCCAGAGGACTTTGGACAGAGGGACGCAGGGACCTGATCTGTGAAGGAGGAAGGTGACATGTGGCAGGAGCCTGAGGGGAGATGGCTGGGGGGAGGGAGGCAGCCGGAGCCTCGGAGGAGGATCATCGGGAGGAAGGGGTGGATGGGAGCATGGACAGAGGCAGAAGGACCGGTGCGGCCAAGGCCCGGAGGCACAGGCGGGTGCCATCGGTGACTGGCAAGAGTCATTCAGGAATGCCCGCTGAGGGCAAGGAGAGGGGGCAGGGCGGGGCAGAAGCATGGCTCCATCTGGGCTCTCTTGGGTAGGAGTACTCCGGCCCCATCCAGGGGAAGCATCCCTCACACCCTCGCTCTCAATGGAAACCTGTTGGGCAGCATCGGCATTCTGGCCCCACCAAAGTCCTGCCCGGAGAGGTGGGCTCCTAAAGGCCACACGCAACAGTTTATGATCTGGTGATTCCTCCCAAGCAGGAAATGTTTCACACACGGGTCTGGGTGGCAGAGGCCAGCCGAGAGTCTCCCCGCTGGCGTGGCTGCAGGGGGATGCTGTCTTTGGCCCCAGCAGCCCTTGAGGGCCCTCGGGGATGGTGGCAGAAATGCCCAGACTGGGTGAAATCACCCAGCCTCTGAGCCATAAAGCATCTGATGGAGAAAGAGACCGAGAGGGCTTAAGGGGAGAGACGACCCTCAACCCAGGACCTCTCACTCCACCTGCAGGCCTCTTCCCACCAGATCCAGCTGCCTTTCTAAGCCGACAGAAAACGAAGGGACCCGTGCTCCCCTGGTTCAGCTCTCATTGCCTCTGGCCTGGAGCATCGTGGCAGCTTTCCGACCGGCCTCCCTGCCTCCAGTCCGTCCTGCTCATGTGGCCAGAATAACTTCCACAGGTTCATAGGTTTAAGGTTGCAAGGCCTTAAGGGCCACCTGGGCCCACCCGCTCATTTAATAGATGAGGAAACTGAGGCCCAAGGGAAATGATGCCTCAATTTCCTCATCTGTAAAATGAGCTGGAGAAGGAAATGACAAACCACTCCAGTGTCTTTGCCAAAAAAACCCCGAATGGAGTTATGAAGAGAAGAGTCGTGGACGTGACTGATCAACTGCATTGAGGATGATACCAAGTGAAAAGTGACCTGCCCTCAGGGAGCTTACGCTCTTGTTGGACTGGAGGTGCCTCCCAGGCAATCACGCAAGCATTTATTAAGCACCTGCTGTGATTCAGGCTCTAGGTTTGGCATTGGGGTGGGGGGGGGACACCACACGAAAAGGAAGCGTGCAGTACCTATTAAAAGAGTCTAAACTTTGGCGGCAGCTCGGTGGCACCACAGAGTCAGGAAGACCCAAGTTCAAATCCAGCCTCAAGACACTAGTTTCCTGACCCTGGACACGTCACTTCACCTGTGTCTGCCTCGACTTCCTCACCTGTAAAATGGAGATGATAATAGCACCTTCCTCCCAAGGGGGTTGTGAGGACTAAAGGAGACATTTGGTAAAATGCTTTCTTCAAACCTTAACACACCATAAGGACCTCACCACCACTGACTCGCATTTTTTTGAAATCAGAGGAAGGAATTAGCCCCGGCACCATGAGTGAAGTTGGTAGCTGATTTTGAATCAGAATCAGATTTAAGGACATTGAGTGATCAAAGTGTGATCTTCAAGCTCACATTAGAATCTGAAGAGACCTGGGTTCGAATCCTTCATTCTCTCTCTCCTTTTTAACTGCCCACATGAACTCTGGAACCCATCTGGGCTTCAGTTTCCTCCTCTGTAAAATGGAGCTGGTCAGGATGGCCTCTGAGTACCTGTCCAGCTCTGAAGTCTGTCCCCCAGGTAGACGTGCAGATCAGTCCTTCAGAAAGGGTTGGAGGTGACTCTTGTTTGCAGCCAGTCAGGGGCTTTCGTGGAGGAAACGGTCCACGTGGCCAACGCCACTGGGGCCAGTTGTTAATTAGAGGCCTAGGGAGGGGAAGGGAGGAGGGGGAAGAGGAGCAGGAAATCCCTGCAAGTCAGAAGAGAGGGCTGAGGTCTTCTAAGGAAGGATTCCAGCTGAATCTGCCTCTGCTAAGTGGGCTTGATAGGCAAAGGTGGACACAGGAGTCTGAGCTTGAGAAACAAGATGCTCGCTAGTGCACAGGGTCCTTTAGTAATTATCAGACAAGATGGAATTAAGCAGGAGGAATGTCCCAACAGGCTACCAAGTGAGGGTGTCATCTCTCATCTTGGGGCAAGCCACATCCTTTCTGTATACACTGCGATTGGCCTAGATGTCCTCTGAGGTCCCTTCCATCTTCTAGTCTTCCAAATTATGATAAATCATACAATCTTAGTGAACGTAACTTGTGATAACCAGAGCTGCCCCCAGATGGAACAGGCAGCCCTTAGAAGTAGTGAGCTCCCTGTCGGTCTTCAGGTAATCTATTCATGTTGAGAGGCCAGGGTGGGAGCAGAGGCTAGTTCTCCTTCCCCTTAAAACCCTACTCTTCGACTTAGCCTAGCAGACTGTTTGGTAGGTGTATTGGAGGATCATCTAGGCCTGACCCCAGCAGGATGGACTGAGCGGTCCTGTTTTTTCCTGCTGTTGTGAGTAAGCAAGTGCATGAGTAACTGGAGAGAGTGTTTTTGTGGCCTGGATGGGAAGGGGAAGGAGGGCAGGCGCCTGGGGAGACGGGGGCGCTGGTGGGACCAGCCCAAGCCATCTCCTCGGGGACGACGTCGGCGTTTCCACCACAAAAACACTCCGTCTCTCCCAGGTGCAGCTTGAACGTCTGGCCGCCTCACGCAGTTGTTGGCAAGCATGTTAGCCTGTGTTCTTGGGGGAAGGGCTTGTGCTCACTCCCCAACTTGAACCGACAAGTCTCTGGCTCGTGGAAATGCATCCCTGGCTGCTTCTCCGAGTGCTTGTGTTCCTGTGATTTCATTGCAGCAGGCTTCCTGTCACCCTTCTGATGACAGCCCTGCCTCAGCGGATGGCTTGTGTGAAAATGTCCCTGCATTGAAATGTGCCCAATGGGGGTGTTGGTCAAGGAACACACGTAGATTGGGGGTACGGACTGCAGTAAGAACCCACATCGAGGCCCTAACAGTTAACATTTTGTGTCCCCTCAGGGAGAAACAGGAGCAGTGGGGCAGCCGTACTGGGGGAGCGTGGTGGCCGAGAAGGATCAAGCCAGCGGATGCCCAGGCAGCCCAGTGCCAGCCGGCTGCCCAAGGGGGGCAGCGCTGGCAAGAGCCCCACTCGGAACAGTAACTGAGAGGGCACGAGGGTGCCAACTTTCACTCAGCGCTCATACCCTGAAATAAGCGCTTAAGAATGGGAATTTAGCATAAATAAAGACTCGTAGAGACGTCATTTAATAAACAGACTGGAAGACAAGGGCGACATTCTGGGTAACAGGAAAAATGTCCTCTTGGCTTGTCTCCTCCCGTTGATAATAAACCATGTTCTGAAATAGAGGCTGTTGGATTGTTTTGAGACCTTATAAGCCTTTTTTCTTACTCATTTTCAACAGTGTCACTTTATTTCATGTGATTAAAAACAGGTATTTCTGTGGCCCTTTAAGGTTTGCAAAACCCTTTTAAATACATTATCTGGTTAAATAGGTGTCATTCAGGAGGCAGTTATAGCATAGGGCAAAGAACACTGGATTTGGACTCAGAGGACCTGGGTTCAAACCCTGCCTTTGGCATTTAGTACCACTATGACTTGGGGCAAGTCACTTACTCACTGAGACTTCTTTTCCTTCTATGAGAAGGCTGGAGTAGGCCCGTTCCTGCTTTAAATCTGTGAAGGCCTGGCAGATAAGAATAGCAGAGGAACACCTACCTAACACAGAGTTTGGGATTCCTACGTACGTTATCTGCATAACCACCCTACTTGTAAAGTGAGTAAAAAGTAGTCTCCTCTCTAGATGCGCAAGGAAGTCAAGGGCTCTGAGAGGTAAGCAGAGATGGGACTCGGGAGGCTGTTGCTTTAAGCCAGCTCTTTCCCCTCTTCTGAATAAAGAGACCTAGTGCCAAGATGCCTCACAAGTGACTGAGTGGTGATTTCGTGGGAGATCCAGAAGCACTGAAAGATTCAGAACCAGACGCCCAAAGTCACTAAACTCTGCATACCCTCGAAGCCAAACGGGTGCCCATCGGTTCTGGAGTCCCTGAATCATGGTGCATTCTTGTGCTGTGAGAAATGACACTAGAGACAGATCCAGAGAAATCTGGGGAGACTTAGATGAACTGATGCAGAAGGGAGCAGAACCCAGAGAGTGATCTCTGCAATGACTGCCGCACTGTAAAGGAGAACAGCTTGGAATGACCGAAGGACCCTGATCGAGGCAACGACCAGTCACAAGCCCACGAGCAAAGCAAGCGAGGCAGCGGACAGCAGGCATGTAATGAGACATGTGCTTTCAGCTGTGACCGGTGTGTGACTTTGTTTTGCTTGGTCCTGTTTGTTTATTACAATGGAGGGCTTTTACTTGGGGGGTGGGGAGAGGGAAGGAAGTAACGAGCTTTAGAGGGGAGTTGTGAGGTAGTGATGATAATGCCCAAAAAAGGGAGGGAAAAACCCCATCAATTCAACATTTGGAAACACCCAGAAGAGAACAGAAGGAAACAGAAGGGAACGTGGACCAGCACGGCAGCATTTGTACGGGAGTGTTCGATCCAGTATACTTTATAAACAAGCTCTACACGATATTCACATTTGCACATGCAGCCCTGTTCTTTGTACATGGAAACATTTGTGTTTGTTGGTGTTTCTCAGGCTCACGATAAAAAATCTAAGCGAACTCCACACTTTTCTCTGACCTCCTTTAACAGATTTAAGAGGGTTATGTTAGTAATCTCTTCCAAAAAGATAAGAGCCGTACTTGAGGAAACCATACTGGCCCTCTGTAAGAACCACTCCTTTCTAGATGTTTGCTGACAATCTCTTTAATGACTTGTTCCAACTTTAAGATCCCTGGTCTATAGATTATAGACTCTGTTCTCTTCCCTTTTTTGAAAACGAGTGCGGGGTGGGACCCTTCCCATTTTCCCTGGTCTCTCAAAGGTCATTGGCGGTGACCCAGGAACCACCTCTGCCAGTCCTCTGAGCACCCCAATCCATCAGATGAGAAAACATGTAAACCAGTAGGTGAATCTGAAAGCACTAAAATGCTAGCTTCTTCCCATCTAGGCCAGGCGGCTTCATCCATCAAGGGTACCTGGGGCTCTTTGATTGTTTCCTTACGTGAGTACAAACTTCTCATCAGCCATTTTTTGGTTCTATCATTTCCAATGCAAAGCTCTACCCAACCCAAGCAGTAACTGACTGATCCATTCCTGGATCCCCCAGCGTAGCTTTAAAAACCCTTTTTAATGCCCTTCGTATCCTTGGCAGCCTCAGCTCCTTCTGAGCTTGACCTCTGGTTTTATAGGGCAGCACCAGATTTTATATTCATCTTCCACAGTAGGAGCTTACTATTGATTACTGATTGACCTTTCTGTGCGTTCCTTTTTAAAATGCAAGTTGACTGGTGAGTTTCCTCCACGTCAGTCTCTTCAGACAACTGTTTTTCTTTCCACCTGGAATCGGTTCCCTTTGTATCTTCCAAATTCCATTGTGAAGTGTAGGCCATTCCTCTGCTCAATAAACTACGGTGTCTTCCTCTCACCCCCAAGATCAAATATAAAATCCTGTTTGGCATTCACAACCTGGCCCCTTCCTGCCTTTTTACAGTCTCCTTATGCCCAACTGCCCAACCGGTATTCTTTGGTTCAGTGACCCCGGCTGCCTCCTCCCTCAGCTCTGGGCTGCCCCCAGGCCTGGAATGCTCTCCCTCGACCTCCTTCAAGGCTCTAGTTCCACCTTCTGCAAGAGGCCTCTGCTCATGCCGTGCCTCTGAGATCTCTCACTTACACTCGCTTCTCCCTCGTTAGAATGTGAGCCCCCAGAGGGACGGATTGTTTCTGCTTTTCTTTGGGCTCAAAACAATCATTTGGCGACACCAACACCCCTCCCATCTCCTGCCTCTACCAGGCTTGGAATCCACCCATTCCCCAGTCTCACTTCATCAATGTTTGACCAATTCTGAATTTCTCATCCCTCCCAGGCTGACTTCTGGTAGAAATTTTTAGTCCGTGGGATGGTACTTGTCCCTCCTCCAAACCCCTTGAAATCCACTCTTCCAAATTTCAGCATGCACGTCCAACTCGGCTTTGTTTCTAACCTTTATGAGGCTGCAGCTACTCCTGCAGAAGACCTGCCATTGCCACCCCCCACCAAGTCCCCCCTGTTAACGAGCCTCAGCTCCAGTGTGCAGCTTCTCCTTTTTGAAGGCTGACATCTCCAAGTTTGAGAGTTCTTGTTGGCTGCTCAGCGCTGGCGGAGGGTGCCACCCCTCCCATCTCCTGCCTCTGCCAGGCTTGGGGTCCATCCGTTCCCCAATCTAATTCAGCTCCTCTTTGTCCTGGTAGTTTACAGTACGTGCCAATGGCAGAATCCCCCCATCTTTACGTTCTCTGGGTTTCCTTATGTCAGGTCCTTCTTTAACACACGCTATTCCACACACACATTCCTACTTCTTTTGAACAAAGACATGCGCATCCAGAGCCAGAATCCAGATGTGTTTCATCTCAACAACACTCAGTGACACCTGAGGCCAAATCTGCTTTTGCAAAGTAAGCTATGGGCACTTATGTATAGATATGCATAGTCTAAATGCATTTTTCATGTCTTCATTGCCCTTTGGTTCCAGAAACACCTCGAGAGGAAGATAATTTTAAGTTACAAAAACTTCTTATAGTGAATAAATGGTACCTTCATTACTCACTAAATCATGTGTTATCTTTTTCAATTGAAATTAATCCTGTTGAACAGTCCATACATCTTTAGGAAGTCAATGCTGGAAAGACTGTGAATGCTGAAAGGCAATTTGGGATTACACAAATAAAACGACCAAAATTCCCTTTAGCCCAGAGATTTCACTGCTAGACATATAACCAAGGATGACAACGACAAAAACTCACCAGAACTATTCTAGCTGCACTTTTTGTTTTGCAAAGAAATGGAAACATATGCATGGTTTGGAGAAGGATAAAACTGCAATCTACGAATTTAATGGAATACTGTGCTGTAAGACCAACAGGATGAATTATATGGTAAAGGATTATATGAACTGAGGCGAAATGAAGCATGCAGAACCATACAAACAATATACGTTAAAATGTAAATGGAACCAAAAAAAAAAAAACCCTGAAACTCAATATTGAGAAATTATAATGACCAAACTTGGCCCTAAAAAAGTGACGTGACAAAAACTGCGCTCCCCATTTCCTTTGCTGAAGTGGGAGTCCACAGAGGGGAATACTGCATATGATGGCAGACTTCTTTGATGTGTTGGATTTGCTGAGCTTTTTTTTAGGGTTAGAGGGATGGCTTTCTGGTCAGGGGGAAGAAGGGAGCACAGGGAAATGTAGGTGATATAAAGACAAGAAAGTATCAATAAAAATCTATTAAAAAAAAAAACTTCTCACCTACTTTTCCTCAGGGATGTACCCAAGACACAGCATTTACACCAGATGGCCCGGGGAACCGTTACGTGTCAGAATCCAAGCTGTAATCGCCCCCTCCACACTACACCTGGCAGGTACATTCTCAAGTGACAAGCTCTCAATTCATCTGTTACACGATCCTTACTCTGAGGGCTGCAGGAATGAATTTATCGAAACACTCCTCAATATAAAGAGCTCTTTAATTTAAGCTATCACTGCTCTGGATTCTGTCAGAGTCAATGTGGAAAACGAAGTTATTTTCTTTGAGCCAAAATTCTAGGGAAAAGCCTTCCTTGGCCCAGAGGAGGAAAGACCATTGGGACACAAGGCCTGTCCTTTGTTCGGCTCAGCCTCTGAGAGGAGAAGCAGGAGCAATGACGGAAAGCTGCCAAGAGTAATTTAGGCTTAAGTCAGGAAACTCCTCCTGATGACTAGCGCTGTCTAGAAGTGGGCAAGGCTGCCTCCAGAGGTGATGGGTTTGTCCTCAAGAAAAGGCTGATCACCGCGAGGATGCTGCAGAGGTCATTTGTTTAGTACGGGCTGGGTTCCAGCTCTGTGACTCCACTTGCCCAGAAAGTCACTTCTCCGTTACACTGAGCTGTCCGTGATGTAGTGGGCCACCTCAGTAGTGCTAGACTGTTACTGGAAGTGTCAGGAGATGGGGTAGAGGAGGTTTGTGCACCAGGGAAGAGGGCACCATAGGATTTAAGACTGCCCCTTGCATCCTAGCCGAGCTAAATCTAAACACCAAGTTTTGTGAGACTAGAGAGAAAAGGCCAAACTCTGCTTTCAAAGGGAAATATTTATTTGTAAACAAATTCTGTAACCAGGTATGCTCGCAGGGGGTGGGAGGTGAGGCTCTCTGGCATTCCTCGCCCTAGTACTCCTCCCCTTCCTCGGCCTCTGCCTCCACGGAGTCGACG